AACAACGATTCTTTACAGTAATGTCCATTAATTCTGAGCCGTTTTCTCCCATTGCATCCGGATCTGATTTAAGAAGCATGCACAATTTTTGCTTCAAGCTTGTAAAATGTAAACTGTAATTTATCTGGCAAACGGCAAATTTGGTAAGACTGAAAAAGTCATTTTTTTTAAAAACTGCAATTTGTGTGGGCAACCAGGTAACGTTCATTCAAAGAGAGCATTCTTACGTGATTGCCAAAGCTTAAGATGATGCTGTAAATGATTAAAATTACAACCTAACATCAGCAGTATCTTCTAATTGAAGGCTAGTTTTAGAATTTTGGTTAATATTTCTGGAAACAGTAAATCTACCAGCATTTTTTATTACGTCTGCGGCCGAAAACATTATTAGCATCTGTTAAGGAATCCCATAGCCTGGTAAAATGTTCCAATATGTCCCGGACTTTATGTTGGAGCTGCATAAAATGTGTGGAAATTCGGCGAAGTGCCCCAGTAGAAGTCATTTTTTAGAAATGACCTATTTAAAATCATCTTTAACTTTGATACATACGATAGTAATCCCAAACCTTGGTTGCTGGCGAGTAGAATTCCTATTTGCGTGAGTCTAAAAATAAGGCCTTAACCACCATCTATATGAAAATGTCCGCCCTAAAACATTCTCCAAACCCGTCTAGTTTTAAATTCCTAATAAACCGAAACTAGAGAATTCGTTTCATTCGACCGTCAATTTAAGAACCTGAAAATTAATAATTACTTAGTAACAATTCAGTTGCCAGGACACATACAGTACTGTAAGCAAAGACTCACTCCCTCTTATAACAGCTGCGAATTCTTAGTCATAGAACCACCTACCAACCAAACCTGATTTTTATGCCTAATCTATTCACCATATCAGGCGCAATTCTCTTCGCTGTAGGTAATCGCATTCCGGTCGATAAAAAACGGCAAAATTATATCAAATGTGCGTTGCACCAAACTTGGAGGTCTCGATGGGATTCACATCCACGCCAGCAAGAGGAAGTTGATGGTACAGCCAACACTCTAACCAAATGAGCCATGAAACACCCACTGGGAACCGTGAGTTTAGTCATACTTGGGTCAATTATCACACATAGTCTACTGCAACGTATGGAATTCAGTAATGCTGATACAGTAAGCTGACTGCCCAAGCGGAGTTTTCCAAGGAATCAATATTAAATCTATTAGATGACTACCAGGCATACATCAGTAGTAGGGCATTTTTGTAGATTTGAATAATTTATTTGGCCCAGTTGTTAAATACACGGCGGTCTCGTTGTGATTAGAACTCAAGGCAGACAAGGGGAGACTTTATTACAGCCAGGACTCCAGCCCTATGAGGAACGAATCTCTACAGGCAGTTATTCGAAATCTACCGAGGCCGTCGATGCTTTCACACTTGGGTCAAGTGGATTATTCGAAGTTGTCAAAATCCCAATTCTATGATCAGGGTTTAAGTAATAGACTGGCTTCCCTGTTGCATATTAAACTGATTCGTGCGGAATATTTATGTGGACCTGAATCTAACGGTGCTTTGGTAAACGAATTATGTATTGACCAAGCTCTGTGTAATTTAACAAGTTGAATTTATTCATTAGACGCGCAATAGTGCGTTCTTGGCATTTCCACTTTTCTGGAGACAGTCGACAGTGTAGCCAACATAGAATTCCATTCAAAACGTTTTTCTGTTTTAATTTAACTTAATGTCCCGTTCTAATAGTTGAGAAGTTAAGACGAGACATCTGCGGTGAATTTCGTTGTAGTATAGATTATTCGTGAAGTTGTAAATATCTCGGGAGTTCGGTCACTTAGCGTAACTCGGCCGCGATTTGGTTAATCGGCTAAAAATGAAGCTAGACTTCTCGAGATGTCCGAAAATAAGTACGGGGGAGTCAGACGAAAAAAACCGTCTACAAATTTCCTAGCATTTTATCCAAATCTAGGCCTGCATACATCAGGTGATGCTCGGCAGACGTAAATGAACACCGCAAGGATTTTTTGTATATGACGTCTCTGTTGGCGTGGGGAGAGGGGGTGGAACCTTAAGACGACTGAAGCAGGTGCGTGCATGCGTAAGTAAAAAAATGCTTGCCACGGCCGTATCAAATGCGATCAGGTGACTGTTTCAGTGAAATATCGCTCGAATGCGAGCGGTTGGAGATCCAAAACACATGATCGCGGAAAGATGCGAGCGCAAGGCCGGGCGAGTGGCTGCATCGAAGCTACTAACCATCTGCCTTGGCAATCAAGCCATTTATTAAATCACGTTAAAGCGGGTAGAGGCACCTCGAAGCTGCTGCCTTGAATTTATCCAAGGAAGGTGAAAAATGCCAATACAAGCGGCTTGTTGGCCGGTTAGAGGACAGATTCCCACGCTTCGTAGTTCTTGTTTCTTATTTTCGGACATTTTCAGGGTGGTGGGCAGTCGCCTTTGTAGGAGACCACTTACGTGCAACTAGTAGTCGCAGTGTAACCAGGATTGCAAAACGACTAGATGGAAAAAACTCTAATTAGCTAGCTCCACCCCTCCACACTCGTTCCTCCTTTTGACACAAGCGGTCATGGGGACCACCCGTTTACCTTCAGTAGGATGCTTTTTAAATGATAATTCCCCCATCAAACCTGAAGGAGATCATCACTAGTAGGAAGAGCAGTTGTACGTTTGGGGCAATTTATTAGTCTTAGATCAAAAATAGCTCTTTCTCTCCTGTCCCGTCCGGTCTCGTACCGTACCGTTCTTCTCCCTCTTCCATCCACTCCTTCAGCATGTTGCAGTTCAGTGGCAAGTCCCAGTTAAGATCATAGATTTCGACGTAGGGACTGAAATGTCAAAAAGTCTGCTTGGGGGGAGCGGCCCTAAACGGCTCGTTCGCAAGCCACCCCATCGATCCGCCCACACAAGTTGTGCGCGTGCCAATGTCGCACCAGCTCCCGACAAGACTGGAGGTCTAACCCACCTGATTGGTCCAATTTCGGACCGACCTTGACCCTTCTCGTATGTCCCTTCTTCGCATTATATACGTTTTTGGACTATAGTAACACAATTCATTTGATCAGCCCTTGTTATTGAGTTCTGGTTTGGGGATGCGATCGAGGCGAGGTGATGGACGGGTGACCATCGAGAAGTATGCCGAGCGCTTGTGTAATGGACATTTGCGCAAATGGTTAAGTGGCTTGCTC